TGATAAGTACTAGTTTCTTTTTTCTTGTCCAATTATTAATTTCTTTTCTTCTTAACATGAACTACCATTTTTTTCTTATAGTACGATAAACTTATATGGAATAATGAACTTGGGCGTTGAGGTAAATTTCTTTTTGTCTTATTTTTTTTTTTTTTATTAACATTTCTTCTTCAACAGGACTTTCGTCAAGAGCCAGCCTTAGTCATGTAAGGGTTATTTCTTTTCACTAATATTTCGTTTTTAGTTACTTTTCTTTCCAATATACAACTACTACGAATTTATGAAGTGTGGGCATAACATATGCGAGATAAGTATTTGGCTTTGTGTTTGTTATTTTTATTCTTCGTTCCATTATTTTAAGTCTTTTTTTTGTTTTTTTATCATCGTATGTCACGATTCTTATGCGTGATGACGTAACAATGGCATTTACGTGGAGTAGAGATTGGACTCTTTGAAAAAATCCCTACTCGGGTATTATTACTTACCTGGCTTATCCGAGTAATTTATTATATATTTCGAGTAACTATATAACAGCAATTTCTACCCCCTATACATGAGGATAGTTGTTGATTCTCATGAGATTGCTGTTATAACTGATCAGTATAATGGATGGTATAATCGAATTACGGATATTGCATGATTGCATAATAGTAGTGTTATTATAATTTATAGATTTTCTTCACATGTTTAAATGTATAATTATATGTATGATAGATTTAAAAATAATAAATTAATAATATTTAAAGTATAAAAGAATTATTTTTATTTTAATAAAAAAAAAAAACTTAATTTTGTTAAAATCTTTCTAATAAATTTATATTCATTATTAATAAACTTATTTATTTGATTTTTTTTAATAATAATAATTAAAAATGGCTTCACATATTTTATTTGATAATATTTTTAATGATACTCATTCAGAATTATCATCTTTGCAACAACAAATAGAAGAATTTCAAACAACTTATCAATCTGATATTAAAACAATAACATCTACTAATAATCAAATTGAATTATATTCTGATAATCAAGAAGAGTTAGATGAATTGGTTATTTTAGATGATTTTATTTTAGATGAACCTGTTTTAAATGATGAACAGATAAATAAATTTAAAAAAATTTATTTAAAAGATAAAATTGAAGATATTGAAAATGATAATGATAATTCATTTCAAAAAATCAAAAAAAAAATAGATAAAAAAGATAAAGAGGCTCAATTTAAAAAATTACAAACTATAGTATGTTGTAAAAAGAAATGTCTTCAAAATTTGATTTTTCATGAACATGCTATTACAAATTATCAAAATTTTCAAAATTTAAATAATAATCAAAAAGATATGTTTTTATTAGGAATAATATCTGCAACTATTCGACAAGAAACTACTACTGATAATCAAAAACGCAGTAAACTTGCTAGTAAATATATTTTTGAAGGAATAGAAATTTGTAATGATGCATTTTTATTGATTTATGGAATTGGAGAAAAATATTGGAAAAATATTCGAAATCATTTTATGCAATATGGAATTAATCCAAGAATACATAAATTAGTTGGAAAAATTAGCAATTTTACAATATTATTTGAAACTGTTTTAGAAATACTTACTTTTATAATTAATTATGCAAATATTCATGGATTACCTTCTCCAGGTATTTATTATTAATTTATATTTTAAAATATTATAATAAACTAATAAAAATTTTAATTAATTAAGGACAAAATTTTCGTAAAGATACTTTACCAATAATTTTTCTTCCTGCTAGTGAAAGTTATTCTTCATTATATCGATTATATATAACAGCAATAGAAGATCAAAATCAAAATATAATTCATTTATCAACTGTTTGGCGTATTTGGAATAAATATATTCCAGAAGTTAAATTTTTATCTCCTCGAAGTGATTTATGTTTTAAATGTAAAAATATGCGTTTTAATATAAAATATTGAACAGATAAAGAAACTATATTAAATGTAGCTGAATGAAATAATCATTTTTAATGGGCACAAAAAGAAAGAGAATATTATAGGTAAAAATTTATTAATATTTTTTAAATATATAAATTAAATCTTAACTTTTTATTAATTTTAGAACTTGTATACAATCATCAAAATTGGCTTTACATCAATTTTTAAATTTTCCTAATTTTTCTCGACCTAATGAACCAAATTCTCTTAAAATTGAATATCATATATCATGGGATTATGCTGAACAAATAAAAATACCATTTTCTTCACAACAAGAGGTATAATTAATTATAATCTAAATAGTTATTTTGTTTTTAATTATATAATATATTAAAATATTTTTATAAAGGGAAATATATATTTTAAATCCCTTTATAATATTCAACTTTTTGGAATTTGTGAAGATGCATTTCCAATTCAAGTATATATTTATATTTATATTTTTTATTATTATTTATATTTATTTATAAATTTTTATTTTTAGAGAAATTATTTAATAAAAGAAGAAGAAAGCATTAGAAAAGGTGCAAATGTAGTTATATCACTTGTACATAATTATTTTACTCTCTATGGATTAGGTGAAACCAATTTAATTATTCATGCAGATAATTGTTCTGGACAAAATAAAAATAATGCTATGATTATGTATTTAGCATGGCGAGTTGCATGTGGATTACATACTCGAATTACTTATTCATTTATGGTAGTTGGTCATACAAAGTTTAGTCCTGATAGATTTTTTGGTCTTCTTAAATTAAAGTTACGAAAATCAGAAGTTGATAATCTTGATGACTTAGTAAAAGTAGTTGAAAATTCAACAAATGGAAATTTTAATCGAGTACAAACAATATTTGATAAAAATAAGAATCAAATAGTACATTTTTATAATTGGACAGAATTTTTATCAAAATTTTTTAAAACTATTCCTAATATTTTAAAATATCATCATTTTATATTAGATCAAAATAATATAGGTAAAGTAGAAGTTAAAACAACAATTGATGCAAATAAACATATTATAAATATTATAAAATCAAAAAATGTTGAAATTACAGGATTTCCACAAGAAATTTTTCCTACAAAATTATCAGCTGAAAGACAATGGTATTTATATGAACAAATACGTCAACATATTAAAGATCCTCAAAAACAAGATGAATATTGTTCATTACCAAATATTCCAAAACCAAAAAAAACAAATTAAAAAAATTTTATATAATAATAAATATTTAATATATTAATAAATTTTTTTATTATAATAACTAATTTTATTTATAAAAATAAAACTATGACACATGTCAAACATTACTACACATGTCACACGTTACAGCACATATCAAACGTTACGGTACATATCAAACGTTACGGCACATGTCAAACATTACAGCACATATCAAACATTACGGCATATATCAAATATTACGGCATACATCAAACGTTACGGCACATGTCAAACGTTGCGGCACATACAGCAAATATCAGTTACAGCTTTTTGATGTGTAATCAAGTCATTGAGTTATATCCAATTGACGTAAAGATCAGTTACGGCACTGCCATACGTCTGCACTTATATTACGAACCCAGCAGTCGATTACAACATCGAAATATCATAGTGACGATGATATGATGATATTCCTTCTATCTTCCTCGTGCTATATAAAAGTATCTAGAAAAGAGAATTATTGGAACGAATAATAAAAAAAAAATAAACAAAAAAATACTTATCTCGTATATGTCTTCACATATTCATGCCCACGCTTCACAAATTCGTATTAGTTATGCGTTCTATAAATAAAGAAAAGAAAATATGCTAGTTATTAGAATAAAAACGAAACTTTAGTGAAAAGAAATAACCCCTACGTGACCTAAGTCTATGCCGAAAGTTTTTATTGAAGAAACGTTAACAAAGAAAATAAGACAATGAAGACAAAAGAACTAGAATTTACCTCAACGCCCAAGTTCATTATTCCATTTCGAATTCATCATATCTATAAGAAAGAGGAATATTAGTAACTATACTAACAAAATAAAGCGGAAAGATCAGAGTAATATTTACAACGTCGCTATAGAGGTCACATTTTCCGTTCCAGGTCCCAGTATCAGTTTCGAATTCCAGTGAAGCCAGACCTACAAAAAAGAAAAAAATGGTAGTTCATGTTAAGAAGAAAAGAAATTAATAATTGGACAAGAAAAAAGAAACTAGTACTTATCA